AAACCTTCCCTCACTGCAGCACTTCCCATTGAGACGGGGAAGTCATTGGTCCAAGCATCACACTCAAGTAGAAGAACCCCAGAATCACTGGACTGGGAAAAAAGCAAACCACAGGACATCAAAGTCCATCTCAGCTGCTCCTGGACAATCTGGCCTAAAAGGGCTGAAATATTTGCCTGCTGGACATGACAGATGAAGGCACTAGGAGGCTTCTTTGCATCACAGGCAGAATCAGCATAAGCAAAAGGCAGGTAAAGTTGGTACTAAAGGGCACACTAAGACTGTGTTGTTTCCAAGTTGCAGTACATTTGAACCTGAGACACATGCCTCCTATTCCTCTTTTTATTCTGCTGGTTCAGCTTCTCTGGTGTCACCAGATTTTGAATAAATAATCCTAATTAACCAAGGATTTTTGCTTAATCAGAGCAGATAAGGAAGTTCCAAATCCCCAGGCAACCTAGGTAAACACCTCCAGGTACCAGCAAATGGTCCAGGAAAAGTAGTAGGTGGCACTCAGTGTCCTATGTGTTGCTCAGGGTACCAGCTGCGTCCCTCAAAAAGGAGCTACCAGTGGCTGCTCCAAACACCTTCTGACTTTTTTTTTCCTGCCCATATCATTTTTCTGACCTTTAAACTTTTACACAATCAAGAGCTCACACGTAGTCCAATACCATCAGTGACAAAGGTCATGAAACACTACCAAGGCAAAATAGGTTGCTTTACTTTTTACAGCCAACATACATTTATTTTCCATTCTCCCACATTCTGCTTATCCTGTACTTTCCTCCTCTTTCTGTAAGTTTTTTTCTTCTTTTTAATAAGGTTCTTAGCACTGCTTGTCTTTCATTGGAGAGCAAATCCAACATAATTTACTGGTTGTGACAGTCTTATTTTATTTTGATTCATGTGAGATAGTTACAGAATATGTAACACAAATAAAATATGACCGAGCTTCCCTGGAATAGGCAGCAGAAAAAAAACATGGGCATCAGGCCTAGTTAAAGTCTGAAATCTTCTAAGAAAAGTTTTCAAGAAAAGTCAACTGTTCTGATTGCAGTACAAATGGCACAGATCTACATTAGGGCATGTCACACACTCATCCATTGTACATGGATTAATCAGGTAGACAAGGTCATTTACTCACCTCATTCCAAACCCTAACTAAACATGACCCAGGGGTTACAACTCCTTCATAGGAAGTACTGATTGCCTAAGTTTGAATATCACTACATTTTTTCTTGACAAACTTCTCTAAACACCAATGCACACCTACTTTTATTCAAACAAACTACTTCTTCAAGATCAATAGCTTCAACTGACACAAAGTTGAATACGACTGTTCTTCATCTGTAAAATCATGAAAAATGCCCTGTGCTATTGAAACAACCTCAATTATTATCTCTAGATTTCTGAACCTCCTTTTAGGTACCAAAATACAAGTACAGGAATAGGCACTTTCAAAAATGGAAGGGTTAATTAAAGTTTAGCTACACAGTTAAAAGCAATGTCTCCTTTTGTGACCTTGCACAACAAGGATATGAAAAATATTCTAAAATTTAGCTCCAACAATCCATTTCAACAGATTTCTAAAGAAATACATAATTATCTTGGAAATTAAAGGTCATGCCAATACCAGATGGCAGTGGTCAATGCACCGAGCTACTGGAATTCAAGGCGTGTCTGGACAGAGCTCTCAGACAAAGATTTTGAATTTTGGGTGGTACTTTGCAGAGCCAGGAGTTGGACTCAATCCAGAGCTGTTGGAGTGGGTCCAGAGGAGGGCCATGAAGATGAACAAAGGGCTGGAGCACCTCTCCTATGAAGAAAGTCCAAGTGAGTGGGCTTGCTCAATCTATAGAAGAGAAGGTTCCAGGGAGACCTCATTGCAGCCTTCCAGTACTTGAAGGGAGCTTACAAACAGGAGGAGGACCAACTTCTTACACAGTCTGATAGTAACAAGACAAGGGGAATGGCTTTAAACTAAAAGAAGGGAGATTTAGGTTAAGTGTTGGGAAGCAATTTTTTATTCAGAGGGTAGTGAGGCGCTGAAGCAGGCTGCCTAGAGAAGCTGTGGATGCCCCACTTCTGGAGATATGAGGCCAGATTCGATTTTTTCCTGGGCAGTCTGATCTGGTGGGTGGCAACCCTTCTCATGGTTGGGGGGTTGGATGCACACAATCTTTAAAGGTCTCCTCCAACCTAAGCCATTAGATGATTCTATGCTCCTCAGTGATCCAACTCAGGATATTCTATGATTCTATGGAATCGTAATCCCTATCCATACCTCATTTGATTCAATAAGTTACATCACTGTGACACGTAGAGGCATTCCAAGTGGTCTTTAAACTTTCCTCGTCTAAATATTATACATCAGATATTACTGCCTTTGAATCTATGGACTAATAACGTTCGAAGTCTAAAGTCACTAAGAACAATTTGCTTCTTTATTTTACTTCATAGTCACTTGGCAAAGTCTCTGTTCTTAAACTGTCACGACTGTTTCTCTTGCCCATGCTTTATCCTAGCAATAGGAGAGGTTAAATGCAGCAATTTTTAGAGGTAAATTATTAGGCAAAATAACAAAGCCAAACTCTGAGAAGAGCTGAACAAATGAATTTGAATTTTCATTTCTTGGATTATTTCTCAGGATTTGATTTAAAGGTCTAAAGAAGTTGATGCAGAAGCCAAGGTCTGGGTGGCCATAACAAACCTGTGTTGAGCTTCAAAATATCATCAAAACCTCAACTGTAGAAGGTGATTCTCATTTTCATCAGGAGTTAATACCAGGAAACCTTCAGCTATTGCTGCCAGCTGGATCTGAGCTCATCAGTATCCATTGTGTTTGCCCACTTTATGTTTGAGCAGTCCCCATTATATCGTTAACCTTTAAAGGAAGAAAAGACCTGATAACTCTATCTGTCCACAGACTTTCATCACAGCCTTGCTGTCCCAACCATTCAGCCAGGCAGAATGTATGCAGGATGATCTCTGGAGTTAACGTGCAATATGCAGCATTTAATGCTTTTGAGATAAGCATGGTATTACTGCACTGGAGATTATACAGAGATAGGTTTCCTTCCTTTTTCCATCTATGATTCCCATTAAATGGAATAAAAGCAATCTGTACCAAATATTTTTCAGGTCTAAGCTAAGAAGAGTTAATCTCATAGTACAGATTTTGATACCAAATAGAGCTATGTGGAATTCTCAGAGTCTGCAAGTCAAGGTACAAATCCAGTAGTTCCAGTTCCTCCATAGTGACTCAGTTTAATTCATACTTGTGCATATTTATTTAATATCTACAGTTATCATAAGTGCCACTGGTCTGGCTCTAAAATAATCAACAGTTTTTGGGATATGCCACTGGAGCTCTGCATGAAGAAAAAAGAGTGCAAGATTGTCACAGTAACATGAAAATCATAATTTCAGTGAGATCCTTCAGTATCATACAGCATCAGTACTAGAAAATAAAACAAGACTGTGGCTGATCTTGGGCACCGGAGTAATTGTAAGCATTCAGACATAAGCAGTCATTAATTCACCATGTAATCCATCCCTTTTACACAGAACGTTTAACACAGTAAGAATGACTTTTAAAATACTTAACAAAATGTTAAAATGTTAAAAACTTAACAAATGTCAGGGCCATTGTTTAGACTGAAGGGTTAGAGTTTGTTTCATGTTTATCACTTGATAGACTATCGCGTTTGAGTAAATTTCACAAGACCAATAAAAAAAAGGTTTCTTATATATTACCTGGAAGAGTGACTAAACTCCAGCTTTGTGTAGTAATGACCTTTAGCTCCAGTCTTTACAGCTTAGATTGGTTGCACAACTTCAGCAAGAATCACTTTTGATCAGCATTCAGGGATACTCTATCTACTGGTATCTACAGTAGTCTTGCAAATCCCTCTGTTGGTAGCAGAGCTGTAAGCAAGCTGGCACACACACACTCCTTGCAAATTTTATTTCCTTTTGGCATACGTTCTTCATCACTCAAGTGCCAAGTTTGCACAAAGGGTAAATGATTAAATTGCTTGTGTGATATTTGAAAGAAATGGTAATGCGACTAGTCAACCTTCAGATAAGCAGAGAAAATTAATTTAAACCAAGGAAGCAAAATATTAAGCTTTCTATCACCTACAAAAGTCAGCCAAAGAAAATTTGGATTGTCATGTACTTAAAAAAACACACTAAATGCAGACATTTCTGTCAAAAATTACTAATTTTGAATAAATATTTTGAACCACACCCTGCTCCATTTAAATTAGAAATCTATTTTCTAAGAAATTCTTAACTTGATAATATTTATGTGATCCTTGCTGGTCTATAAAGAATTCTTCCTGTCATTTGTCATCAGTTTTCTTCAGAATAGTCTTGAGGAAGAAATTAATTTAATTTCCATTCATGAAAATATTGGTAAGTGATTTTTTCCCCACCTCCTGGAAAAACAGCTTTTGTTAATTCTGACTAGTTCTACCTTGAGCTCCTCCTTTTCAAAACTGGGACATAGGTGATATTTCCACAACTGTTACAGCCTCTTTTATGTCATTGGTTGTGTGTTCTAGTCACTGAGATCACAAACTAAGACATCACTCATTTGGAAACAACAGGGAACACAGATAATGTATACAAACAAGTCTGCAATACAGAACATAAACCCATGTATTTTTCAGGGCATGGGTAAATGTTTTCTCACACCTGCTTTCAAAAGAAACAGGAAAAGGCCTACCACCATTAGCAAGACTGAGACTTACTCAAGAGCCCAACCTACCCGTCTCAGAGATGACAAACTCATTGCTCAGAAATGCCTACTACCCTCAGCTCTTGTTTTAGCAATAAACTATTAGTTTTCATTCTTCAGGAAGAAACTTTATGGGTGAAAGGTGACAAAACACTACAACTTATTAATTTGTTGTTAAAGCAAGGTAAAAAGTCACATACTTTATGCACCAGGAAGACAGAAGTTACAGCTTAGCACATACAGGTATCTTACATACCTGGTTTTGTTGTCTCCTCAAATCTCCTTGCTGTGCTTCCACCGTGCATCTGTATGCAAGTTAAGATACATCTAGAGCCAAAAACACAGCGTCACTAATTCTAGCTCTTTCAAGACAATGAGGTAATACCACTTATATTGAATACAAGGATCTACCCAACTAATTTTTCTTTTTCTTCTTTTTTTTTTTTTTTAAAAAAAAAGATCTACTGCATACCTCATGCAGAATTAAATCAGTTGTTTCCCTCATTCAGGAGGCACCATAGACCAGAGCCAAGAGACCTGAACACCAGTATTATCTCTTTACACCGAGCTTGGAGTAATCCCACTCATTCTTTTATCCTTCCCAAAACTGTCATTGTCTAAAAACTTAGAGGATATTGCAGTTCAGAAGGCGTAGGTGGATAATTGGTGCAGCACTGATGGGAGCCTGATTCTGGTACTCCTGGCACAGGTGCTTCCACTTGTGTTAACGTGTACTGGTGTGGGCAGTTTCCCCACCCCAGTCAAGGATACTTGGGATCTCAAGTAAAAAGTAGTAATATGCTATAATTCAAATATTATGCATAAGGTAAATTTCAGGCCTAGTCAAACCAGACCTAAAACAACAAAAGCTTTGTGATCTTGACCAGTCCTGACAATATTAAAGAACTTTGGAATTTTTAGCTTTGGGTTTCAGATCCTGAGCTGCAAACCTCTTCCAAAGGCTGCAGCCTCAGGAAGTGAAGCCAAGAAGCTTCACCTAGCTGCTCAGTGCCAGTACCTCATAGCCTGTTTTCCATCAGCGTTAAGCACAGTACCCTTTATAGAAGGAGGGAGACAAGAAAATAAATAAATACAAATGGTTAAATGAATAGAAATCCCTGTTGAACTAGCCTAGCCTAGCATCATGGGCAAACTGCCCTTCTTTGTTCAGCAAGTAAATATTATTTGCACATCTTTAGAAGCAAAGATAATATAATGGTAAGATAACTAGTCCCCTGTGTATCCTAACCGTGCTCAGAGCTCCTGCCATAAAGGAACATAGTTATTTGTGGACCACTTGAGCTGCAAGGGAAACCCATTCCTCAGCAGTCAGACATGCTAGAGAAGGAGCACCTCCACAGAGCAATAGGGAAAAATGTAAGGATATGTTTGCAAACTCTACGTGAAATGCAGGAGGTACCTTGTCTCTGCAAAATGACACTCACTCTGTGCTCCATGTGTACTCACAATCAATAAGAGCCTATTGAAAATCCAAGTGTGCAGCTCTTGCAGGGCTGGGGTTCACTTTCACAGTGTGCTGCCCTCTTCGAAAGCTGTTGCACAAGAGCTGTATGTTTAACATCTCTAACCAGCCAAAATTGCTCTTTATATTTGATCAGGAATAATTTTTACCTTTGAACCTGTTGCAACGCAGGTTCAAGGGTTACCTGGGTGCAGTGTTGCCTGTTTATTAAAGCCACACACCGATGATTCGGGGCTCAGTCCTGCCGTGGGAGCTGGGGAAGCACCAACCCTTCAACACCCCCTTGGAGTTGTAAAGCAGTGAAGCAAATAAGCTGTGCTGGCCCCTCCTTTGCGTGGACAGAAGGTAAGCAAATCTCTTTTGCCTACACTTTCCAAAGTACTGAGCTTCCTGCTTCTGCAGAGAAGCACAGCAAGTGGTAAAACAGACTTAATTTGCTGCAATGCTCGGATCCAAATGCACTGCTCTTGTCACACTGTGTACTCTTAAAGCCAACAGCCCAGGAGTTGGCTCTCTGTTATGGAAGGAGCAAGTCTGAGCTCACAGAGGCATACAAAAAAAAAAATCACAGCCATAATAAAAGCCCAAGCGAAAGCAACCACCTGAACACTCCCTGTTGCCATAGACTGGAACTGGAAACCTGACGTCCATCCATGCTGAGGCTGTTTTCTTATCAGTTTTGACTATTTAAAGATACAGTGCACAGAACACCAGTGCCAGGCTCCCATTCAGACTGAAGGTGAAAACAGAGTTCCAGAAAATGAGCCATCATTTGGTTCTACAACACCAGAGGCAGATTTTGTAGTTCAGTAAAATATTACTATACACTAGATCAGTAGATGCACAAGCTTTTTGGCCATATTTAGTACAACAGGACCATAGTCCCTAGCTAAAATCACAGAAGCTGGCTATAATGCCTTCTTTTTCAATTATTAAACATTTTTAAAGCACAGTTTTCACAGCTATACAGATGGAGCCCCTCCAAGCTCTTGCTTGTGCATCGATCTACAGCTGGAACAGAGGAGGGGATAGCAGAGAGATTAACCAGCAATCAAGCTGTAAGTGAGACCTGGCAAAACGTGTGCTGCTCTTCCAAGCCATAGCCCGTCATCCTGCTCAGTGCCTCCTCTGAGGAACCCAATGAGATTATTTATTTCCCTCTGCATTTTATTTGTCTACAACAGACAGAAAAAAAATATATATATATAGCAGAGCAGTAAAGAACTATTAATTTTATAGAATTAAGAAAACTGAAATTCAGCACTGAACTAATGCTTCCTCTTCATTTATTTACATCCTTTGCTATTTGCTGCGGGGAGATGGAATATTTGGACAGTTGATGCTCATACTGTGCCACAACTTTATGATTAGTTATAAAATCTCTTTTTATCCCACCTTTTGTGAGAGTAACAAAGCAAAAAATTAAACTTTTTCTATATATACTCTACATACTGCACATCTTAATTTGCTGGTGAATATGAAAGATGCAGGTATAAATTCTATATATGTGAACAACTGAACCTTTACTTTGTTCATGACTCTGCTCTGCTTTTTCTTTTGGCAAAAAATTACTAGCAAGAAAGGGGGCACAAATCCATTTAAAAAGTTGGGTTTTTTTCTAATTGTTTGAGGCAATATAAAAAATAAAAAGCCTCAAAATTCTCAGGTCATTTTTTATGAGGAAAGAGCGTCAGCAATATTTCAATTTACGAGTATTAAACAGAAGCAGTCATTAAGGAGAAGCTATCTTTCACAAAGCCTCTGAGGGCATGTGCTCTTGCACCCCAAAGTCAATGCATCTGGGTGAGGTGCATAGCACTGACACCCAACAGGCAGGGAAGAATCACAGCATTTTCCTCTTTATCTTGAAAAGGTAATAGCTCGAGGCCAGATTTCTGAAGGGGGAACTCCTCAGAGAAGCACTCAGAGGTTAATGCAAGTACCTGGGATGGAAGCCTGGCTTTCCTTCCCTTCATTGTAAGAACATTACCTTCCTCCAGGCGTAAGAGCACCCTGACTGGCACTATAAGAGCTGAAGGTCACAGCTTCACTTAAATGCCAAGGAGCAGCTCTCAGGAGACAGAGCCAAATGTGAAGGAATTCCACACAGAGCAAGCTGTTTCTTTTTCATGTTCATTCAAAGCTCATGGCAAAATCAGAAATTTAATCCTCAGCTTCCTTAAAAGTCTATCCGCACTGCTAAATAATGCCACAATTACAGTGTAAGTTAGCTTTACCCAATTAATGTATAGTTTATAGCAGCAATGAAAACAACAGCAATTAGTAGAGGCTGTATGCTTTAGCAAGCCAAGGTTCAGGGCAGGTTGCACCCTTTTAGTGAGGACACGCTATACTACTCCATTTTAGCTATAGTTTACTCTAGCAAGGTTTACATTATTCTGAAATCATACAGTACAGAAAAGCTTTCAGATGTGCAAACTGAGAAGTGCAAAACCATTTCCAAGATCTGAGGTCCAGGCATTAAAGAGAACACGTAGGTGAATTTAATACCTTCCCAGCCCTCAAAGCCTGTTGCAACATTTCAGCAATGTTGGTGGAAAACAGGAGAGAAAAAAAGGAAAGAGCAGCAGCAGCCCAGTATATGTAGAAAGCAAATCCCTGTTGGAGCAGGAAGAAAAGCAGAGTTTGAAGCATGACTCACTGAATTTGTGCAAAGGATTGCACATAGGTGACTACAGCACAGCAGAAAGCATTTTAGAAAGACAAGACAGATTCTAGGGAAAGAGAAGAAACCAGGATCCAGACTACCAACAAGTACTACACCAGTAGGTGAAAAATACTATACTCAAAGCATTTTGTTACTCATACAGCTGCAAATCTCTGCTCACTTTAACTCACAATACAGCCAGAGAGAGAAAATCCCTAATATTGAAAGTGCAGCTTTACGTAGAGGGGGAAAAAAAAAAAAAAAAGAAACTAAATTATAAATGGTAAATTACAAATATATTTTTCATCAGCTTCTTCAGAAACTTCACCCTTCTTGCCTCACCAAACCAAAACCAAAACTACCACCAGCCCCTTACAGCAAATTCTTTTCTAACCACTTCACTTCCTCCCTTTGTTCCCAGCATGCTTTTCTGCTCGTTGATTTATTTAAACCAGGGAGAGGGAACAAGCTGTAGCTTTAACATGAACGTTATCTAATTGTTTTTGTTTTGCTATTACGCTTATAAAGCTTCCTTTTACTTAAGGAAAAGAGGTTGGCTTCCTGCCCCATCAACGAAATGGTACGTGCTTTTGATTGCTGCTTTTTTTCTCCGTGCTTGCTCTGAAATGCAGAAGCATTAAAGATCTACTTTTGTTTCACTGCTCATGGCCCTGCTGGTGGTTGCTCACGGAAGTCTCAGTATTGCCCACGTGCACATGCAGTGCTCAGTTCAAGGGGTTCAAGGTAATGTGTTTATCAGGAACCTGGTAGGAGAGCTCCAGCAGAACCACCATCGGCGCGATGCTAATCTTAAGCTTAGTTAAGTTCAGATATATATTTGCTCTTTGCTCTTGGTGATACAACTGCTGTAATAAGTTATCATAAAAAAACATCAATATTTAAAAATTCTTACTGCTGGCTGTACTCTGTAAACTGCTAAATGATCACATTCTGGTTTTCTTTGGGCAATTCTAAGTTGGGCTTTTGTTCTAGATCTTTGAACATACTTGGAGATAATTTCCCATTAATGTAATGCCAGTACAAGTGTATTTGGTGAGGATATCATGCTATATTATCTAGTAGGACAACCAGTAACAAAGTTCATTATGTTAACTACGTTTACGATTCTTCAGAACTTCAGAGGGCTGAATATGTTCTGTCTTTGTGTGTGGCCGGTACACCTTCTGGACAGGGAGTTTTCAAGGAGAAAACCTGAAATAAAGCGTACACAAAAGCTTGACTTTTGTTTTCTGACAAAGCAGCATCATGGTGTCACTATGTTCCTGATGAAGGGACGGAAATATCAGACATCATACATTTTCTTATCATAATGGACTTTCTATTTTAGTATACAGAAAGGCCTGAGTTGAATAGGTTTCATGAGGCGGGTTCAGAAATAGACTGTAACACAGTCTGAGTGCTGTACTTCCTGGATGTAAATTACTGGGGCCTCATGCTTTCCCAGCTGATAGCAGAGTGCTTCTCAGGCAAACAGAGGGCACTTGAACTGCTAGGCTCCAAAAGGTACTCCAAAAGCTAAAGTGAGAATGTAGATTCTGCTTTAGACACATCTGGCTCTAAAGAGGATTCTGCGAAAAGCTGTGGCTGTTAACTCTGGGATTTTACTTCTCTTTACATAACTGAGTCAGCAGTATAGTTTGTTCTTAAAGTCTCGCATCTCCCAGGGCATCAGATTAATAAGTGATGTGGTTTGTACATGGCTGCACTCAGCTGTTGCTGCTCAGGTCTTGCACTTAAGCCTCTTTCTGGATGCTAAGTCCTGCACAACACACACTTCTTGCTGAGCTGAAGAAAGATGGGACATAATGCTTCCAACTATGAACTCACTGCCTCACATCTGCAGACCAGGCAAAAGCTGCACTGTGGGAAAGCAAATGTCAGGAGTGAACTAATGGTGGTTAACTAAGTACAGATCTCAGAGCAGTTGGTTCCACTCTATTTCTGCTTGGAAAGTGTCAGCATGTTACCTTACTAATGCTGATTTCACAATTACCTCAAAAGCATATACATATGTGTTTCTTAGGCAAACTTAAGACAAAAAAAATATAATCTTAGAAGATCTCACAGGTAGAGCATGACCTTTGTCCCTAAAATGGCACAAGGACCAGAGATCTATTGCCTGTAAAGAACTATTGTGAGATAAATTTTCTTTCTTCAAATTTTTGTGCCTGAAACCATAGAATTGGTTACTTACCAATGCCTGCTGCCTTGGAGAGAAAAGAGGAAAACGAGCCTTCATTCCTTCTAGCTAATAAGGAGTTGCCCTGGAGATTATGGGGGATTTGGAAAGTGGGGTACTGTAGAAATGAGAACACACGGTCCTGAACCCAAGACTGGACTTACTGTAATCTCTTCTGATAAAAAAGAGGGGTGGGGAAAGCCTAAGCCTTCATACTCTTGATCCCAGTGCACCTTATCCTTGATCATTGATCAGGCCAGACAGTTGAAGTACACTTCAACTTTCTCACCTCCTGTTGCACAAGAGGACCAACAGAGGTGGTCTGAGACATCCTATGCATTTTCTAGTCACATGGAGCTAAGTCCCTCAAAACTCAGGGATTTAAAGCACTTCAACCTTTCCGCATGGTTAAAAAAAGTTAGAGCTCAGACTCACGGTCAGAAATGCTGTGGCACTGTTGCATGCTACACTGAGTAGCACTTTCAGTCAGTCTGTATAGACCAAATATCATCTATATATAGAGAACCCAGATTTTAGGGTTAAACTCTGGTGTAGTTGCTCCATAGCATGGAAATAAGAGCTCTACACTAGGTCCATGCTTAGAAGACTCATAAAGAAAAAGAAGGTTTCTGTTCGCTCTGCTGGCTGGCTCTTCTGCAATCAGGGCAGCAGGATTAAGCGCCTTCTGGACAATGCCAGAAGTAGTTAACCAGCAGTGCTTTGGATCTCACAGGTGTTTATAGTATAAACTCTAGACATAGTAGACAATTGGCCTGGTTATGGAAGTTGAGACAAATTTGCTGGTGGTCTCTTCCCACAGCCTGAATAACAGACGCTATGTACTTTGACAGTTGGAAAGTAAAAGCAAAATGTTGTCACTACTCCCATTCATAGTGTAAGGTCATTTAAATAGTCTTTTAGGCAAGAAAAGCTCTGTGTCTGTATAGTGTGAAGACCCAGGTATATGTGCTTTTTCACAAAACAGTAATTTCATGGTTTTAAAGCACGTTAAGTTTTGACTCTTGCATATCTAGTTTCAGTATTGTAAGCAGACTAGTGATTATGGTTACCAGAAAAATAGTTAGAAGCAAATGAATGTATTTCCCAGACTTACGAGATTAGATTGTTATAGGATCTTTAAATTAATCATTGCTTTGTTTTGGCCTGTAGCTAGTCAAGGACTATTTCAGGATGTAGGAATGCTGAGTAGGTTGTGCTGGAATAAGGCTACTAGCAGGTTTTTCTGAGGACAGTATCTTTCCTGCATTCAGTTATCTTCAGGCTTCTCTCAATCAGGTTTTCCTCACTGGATCTTTGAGATCGCTACCCCAACTATCTTCATCCTTCCAAGCACAGTTGTCCGGTCTTTTTAGATATCTTGGCATAAACTGCCTTGCATGTGAGTCAATGAGGAGATGAGAACACCATGACTGAAAGGAAGCTAATCTTTTCTGCTATCTAGGAAATAGTCTTTAGAGTACTATTAAAACAAGTACATGAGAGCACAATTCATTCAAAATAGTTCAGCTGTGCAGGTATGTGGTCTTTTCAGTTGCCTATTCTTACTGCTGGTCAAAAGAACTTCATGCCCAGAGAAGAGATATCTGAAATACACTGGATTAAATCTCACTTTGGCCCATCTAAAGATGGAAAAAGACATCAAAAGTTGATTACTATTGCTTTTGATTACTATTGCAAAAGTTGATTACCAATTGCTATTACTAGCAATTGGACAGATCAATACAATGGGAAAGGCGTTACAACAAAGGCGTGATGATGGAAGGGCTGGCACAATAGAAAGGTGCTATACAGGAAGGGAAAATTACTCACCTGTATCAGGAGATTCTAGGTTCATAGGGGAAAAGCTTCACCAGGGAGGAATCTCCAGAAAGAGATCCTTCCTCACAGACAATCAGCCCTTAAATGAGTTCTGAAAGAGGTAGAGCCAGGCTCCAGCCCTTCTGGTTGCACAGATGAATTACCTTCACCTGTACTCCCAGAGCTGACTGGGTCCTTTCCCCAGGTGCTCAATCAGTGGTTCAGGCTGTGATTCAACAGTTCCCATACAGCTGTGAATGAAAATTCAGAGGAATTGGACATGAGTACTCTGGTATCCCTCTAAGAGGATGGAGCATGGATGTACCAAGGTTTAGTTTTGCCATCTTCCTATGAACTAAGCTTCCAGCATACAACTGGTACAAATGTGATTTGTTCTGCCACTGAGATCTGGGAATAGGCTCTGAGTTAAAGGAATAAAGTTTGTATGTTGAATTTCTTTTCACGTTGAGCAGTGGAGATGCCTCCACCAAGCTGCCTCAGATCTCAGATCTCATACTGTAAAAAAAAGTGGTTGACTTCCACCATAAACTACATGCTATTTGATTACCTCCAGCAAGCTGTTTACTAACAGCTGCAGTATTGAGTTACAAGTCCAAAAAATGAAGAGTAGTTGCCTAAAAAATTCATCTTACCAAGTCCTTAATCTTCCAAATAAGAGTAGAGACTTCTCTACTCAGACTTCTAAGTGTCTTTGACATGAATTCAAACTTCTTCAGCAGGCTTTGTTTTCAAAGATTATTTTTCCTTAGACTTAGCTGATAGAAGTCAAAGGAAGGATGCAAGATGTGCAATAGTCTGTGCTGAAGAAAAATAGGGCTATACTTCCTAGGTGTGTGTCCAGTGGCCAGACATGATAGTGATGCAGAGTCATAAGGCAGGAGCTTTTGCCATTCTTGCTGTAGCACCATTTTTGGGGGGCAGTCCTTTCAGTGCCTGAGGTGAAGATCAGGGGTTTGACGTGCACGCTGTAACTCAAAATAAGTAGGTCTAGGGAGTTGGTACATTTCAGGTGATGTGCTTTTGGTAGTGTGGATTCAACATCAAGCCTCCAAGGTATCCTTTCTTATCCAGATGATGAGCTGCCAAAGCATCTGTTTGTCACCAGAGAACAGATCAGGACTGTTAACACAGTCACTGAAAATTGAAAGCTACAAAACCATAAATGTGATGCAGGTGATCTAGCCCTGCTCAGTCTGGATGTGGTGATCCAAATTCTGACTTTTGGACATGGCTGAATTTATTGACTGTTTGAAAAATACCATCAGCTTTCTTGGGTTCTTCTAATGGAAGGAAACCAGGATCTCAGTATTCCAAAATGTTTGGTAGTGTTCCTGTATAGGAATGTAGCTAGTTGCTAGCTGGCATATTATCTACTGACTGGATTTCCTCAATTAATCATGAAGGAATTGGAAGGGGTGCAGTTATTCATCTTGTAAACTGTGAAGTGTCATGTCCTGCATACCTATTTAGATACTAGGAGAGATAAGTCAGTTCACTTAGATCAAATGCAGTCATCTGTGCTAGATTTGCATTGGCTATTCAATCTGAAACATATCAGAGCACTTTAGAAACTAACGTACTTGATTCTAGGAGAGGAAGCTGAGGTAGCCTCTTTGTATCTCTTGTGAGGAAATCCTGCATTCTCAGTTTTCTGCTTACCTGCCTGCCCTTGAAGGAAGAGATGCCATAAGATGCAAGCAGCAAAACTGCTTCTGTATTTCCCAGCAAGATTTCAGTTGCACTCTCTGACTTCTAGGTCACTAGTTTTGAGAGCAGAAGTCCAGAGTTTGGTGTTGTGCAGTATCTCAGGCAGAGCACTGCCAGCATGAGAAACACTTCCCAGGCATAGACTGTATTTCCAGTAAGAGCAACTGATCATGAAGACACTGCTTCTCCTGCAGACTGCTACACAGTCTTTACACTTGTGTATACTGTAGCAATGCCTCCTGCTGTTAGACAACTGTAATCTTGTGGTGTTTTTCTTCTACTGTTCACATCTGAACAATGGGCATTTAGAAAAAAAAATTAATACTTAATCTGATATATATATACACTGATATATATATATATAATATAAATCAGGCAGATTTTAGTCTTGAATAGGAAAAAGTTGACATTTGTTTCTTGCCTGCCCGACATCAGTGGACTTCAGCTTTTTGTGGAGGTGGATGCAGAATGGATTAAGATTTACAGAGACAGGTGACTTGAGATCTCCTAAGAGGCTTAAAGCATTGCATAAGCATACTTTATTATTGTACCAGGAGTCCTTAGGTGCAAAGAGCTGAAACGATCTGTAGTATTGCTTAACAAAGTACTTAACTAACCCTGGCTTACAGGTAGTGAGTGCTTCGAACTCATACCTACTAAACCTCGTTTGTTTCAGGTTCAACTCTGGCTGCACTGATCCAGCACAATGATCTGGATACTCCAGGTCTTGTTTTCACCGCTTCCAACACCAGCACTGTTTACTCTTATTGCACTTGGAGCTCTCACCTTCCTCTGGGTGCTAAGCAGGCCAAAGCCTGTTTTACCTCCTGTTGACTTGAACAAGCAGTCAGTGGGAATTGAGGTAATGCTTATTCTTCTTGTGGGGATGGATTATTTCTGACAGACTTGCTCTAAATACCAATCCATTTTGACTCTGGATATCAGTGGAAACTCTCATTTCTGCTATACACAGCCTTCTCTGCTGTGCAATTCAGCAGTATTGTGCATAGAAGGGAAGTCTTATGACACCAAGAGGAAGAGACAGAAACTCTTGCCAACAGGGTTAGGTGTGCTTTTTACAAGAAGTCCTTGGCTGTCACTGACTTTTTTCCTGTACTATAAATGCTTTTTATTTGTTTCGTGGCTAATGATAGACCAAGATGGCAGACTTCATGTAACTATGCAAGTGGTAGCACTTAATGTTAGTCAAGGTCTGTTTAGTAATCTACAGCTGAATATTAATCTGGGTAATCTAGAAAATTCCTCTGCATACGAGTAGTATCTGAGTAGATCAAAACCAGGAAGGAAAATGAGACTTCCTGCACAATGCAATAGTATTCAAATGCCTTGAAGGGGACTGCTGTGATTGGCTGGAACGAATAGCATTGCATCTGCTCTGCACTAATTCATAACTGTGCTCTGTTCCTAGGGAGGAGCGAGAAGAGCTGCACTCTTGACAGATAATAACCTGCTTTCTTATTACTTTGAAGATACTAAAACCTTGTACGAAGCTTTCCAGAGAGGACTGCATGCTTCTGGTAAGCTTTGTAGCTGCTAGTTGATACTTAACATTTCACAAGTAAATGAAATGGTTCCAGAATTTTTTATCTTGCCTCTTGCCAATAGTAATAATTAAGGCTATCAAATAGTTTTCCTAAACTTTTGTGAGGTGAAGTGACAAATGACCATATTTCTCCCCCACTGTTATGGAAGTAGGATTAGTTGGCAGACTGCACAGGAGCAAACATCAGAAGCTCACGGTGGTAGAATTCAGTGAAGACAGCAACACTAAGTTTGGGGTGGGGTAGGAAGGGAGGAGCAAAACATCCCTCTGCTTTGTCTTATGAAGCATTTATTTTTAACTTTAAATTACTGCCTGCTTACAATAGGAATGTGTCCCTGTCTGTATGGCTTCAGGGATCACAGACATGGAAATACATGATAGCCTGCAAGCTATTTCAAGCTGAATGAAATGGGAAAATATTGCCAGACACTGGAAGTATTGCTTGTAAGGATGAAGCAAACAGCCTAACAACTTTAGTTTGTGCAGAGTACTTAACAGTGGACACTGCACACCTGAATGCTCCATGCAGTTAAATGGACGTCTGAAAACAATCTCCATTTACAGTGTTGTTTTGAACTGCTATGCAGCTTCAGTATTGAGCTTTACAGCTGCTTTTTTGATCTTTTCCATTAGGAAATGGCAACTGTTTAGGATACAGAAAACCTAATCAACCTTATCAGTGGCTGACTTATAAACAGGTGAGTGCTATACATGACAGATAATCTAACTTGGAGTGCTGTCTTGTAGCACTAAAGCAGGGGGCAATTTTCTTACAGGTTTTGGATAGAGCTCAACATCTGGGATCAGGGCTTCTGCAGAAAGGATGTAAACCATCACCAGATCAGTTTATTGGCATTTTTGCTCAGAATAGGCCAGAGGTAAGCAAAAAAAAAAAAAAAAAGTACTATTTCCCAAAATATTCTGACATCCTGAGGAGAAGAGGGTCTGCTCAACTTGCTAGTTAAATAGCTTGGGACCAAATGAGGAATGATTACAACTGGCTTTTCCCCTCCCACTTCCCTTATTATTCATGGGGCACATACTGTGCTGGGCGTGTAAATGGTGATCTTGAACCTTTGATACTGTAAGAATTTCATAGACACACTGCTTATAGAAACACCACTACTAACGTGTGCATGGGCTATTTAAGCTGTATGAATTCTCCAGGTAATCTTGTTTTGTGAGCTGCTAGTATACCTCAGCTCTTTTTTCTTTCTTCAGTGGATCATTTCTGAGTATGCCTGCTACACTTACTCAATGGTTGCTGTTCCACTCTATGACACCCTGGGGCCAGATGCCATTCTATATATTGTTAACAAAGGTAAATACTGACTTCAGCTATTTTATAATAACAATTTCTTTAAGAAGCTTTGTTTTGGGAACATTAAAGAGCAAAGAACTTGATGCAAAAATTAGAGTAGCTTTGACCTGTAGTTGTATAGACACTTTGTTTCTGTAGAGCCACTTTGTAGGGTATATGATTTAATACCTAGAAGAGGCAGTGTGTTTCCTCTATCTCCTAGTATCTTGGGTGCAAGTCCAGAGAAGATCTGCTAGATTCTGTGGGCCATGCTGCAATCAGAGGGCTCAAAAACTGTTGGTTGTTTGAGGTTTGCCAATTTTGAACTCCCACACTGTTTGCCAAACAATCATACAGTACAGACAGACTTGCATGCAAATTAAGACTAGATGCATGTCTGATTTAAAAAATTCTAGGATGTGAAGTGTGGAGGGGTAGAGATTAGCCTAAAGCTATCTGTTTAGTTCTACAGAAGTAGCAATTAGTGTGCCATCATGAAAAAAAA